CTAGAGCTCTCAATCTAGGAACCAGCAAGTCTTAAGAAGTGTAGTATTTGTGAGTTCCTTGCAGGAAGCAGCCAATGCTAGCTGGGGGTGACCTCAATGGTTGCCGTGGTCCACTTTCCAGTTATTTCCAACAGCTAGATGGCCCATCCAAGGTCAAGGATTCCTGACTTCTAAGAATACAAATGACGCTACTCTTAGGGCTTTTTCTGCTCTGTTACCACTATGGCTATATTAACTCATTATCAACTTACCCAGAGAAAACTGCTGATAGCAGACATCACTATGTCCTGGCCAGCAAGAAACATGAAGAGTCAAGTAATTTTCTAATTGTGGTCAGAAGTTTCTTAAAAGTCTTAGGTACATCTCAAAACCAATGTGATAACCCAATGTATTTGGATGATGGTGGTGAGGATATGGGTGGCAGAGGCCAATTCTCAACAGTGGTCGATCTGGTCCCACTTCTTCATGGTGATATGAATGCTCAGTGACACACGTTCCCACTGCTTGCACTCTGAACTCAGGTGAGTCAGCAGCAAAACTGAAGACACTGGGTCACAGGGGCACTTCTGAAATCTCAGCCTCACAAAACCCAGGTAGGTCTGGATGACAAGAAAGTGAGAAAGTCAACAGGGGACCACTCTTCCCTACTTGCCTGTCTCTTTTCTCTTATTCTCAGCTTCTATGTTACTGAACTCCATTTCCCACACACACTGTGTATCATTGTTACCCCACATTCATAATCTTGACCTTACATAGTCTGTTAGTGGAATTCAACCTCAGGTCAATGGTGTTAGGTCAACTCAACATATTGATATGTGAAGTAAGTTCCATTAAAAATGTGCACTTAATCCTTGATCTGTTCAATATGTGAATGAACTGAATAGAAACACACAAAAAGGGTACAAATTACAACTATTCCCAAAGCAGATGGCTACTGTATGTACTAAAGGATATGTGCATAAGGTAGTTTAATCATATCAATATCTTGGAAAGAGCACTTGTGGAGCTAGCATGAAATTCCAAAGTAACAAGTATGAAACACAGTATTTAGTGACACTGCAAAAAATAAAAATAAAGACAAGCCAATGTAGAGGAGAAGCTTAAGAAGTAATGATGTATAACCTGATTTAGTGTGAATGAAAAGCCAACAGCTGCTTAGCAAGAGAAATTAAAGTAAATTTAAAAATGAAAGACAAGAAGAATAATAAAGATCCCAAGAGGAGAATGGAGGAGAAGGGATTGCAGCATGGCCATCCCCCCTGGGGGGTGGTTTCTTGCTTTCTGTTTCTGTATCTCTCTCTCTCTGTCTCTCTGGTGAGCGCACACGGCCTATAGTTTCCAGTTGCCAAACTGACTAGGAGAGGCAGGTCTGCCCCACACACTGACCTAGCTTTGTCTGGGGCCAATGACCTCTCCAAAAAAAGAAAAAGAAAAAGAAATTTTGGGGTGATCTCTTGAAAGGTAGTAAGGAAATAAATCTTGAGAAGTTATTTCCACCTTTGTTATTTTATGTTTTGTGAGTACTGCTGACAGAAGCTACTGAGATTGGATCCCTATATCAGTGATGCCCTTCAGAAGAGACCAGGTGACCTTGTGGCCAACATGGCCTAGGTGATTGGAAGGCAAGGGCTCCTAAGATTCCATGACACCCCCCACATTTTAATTCTGTTATAGCAACTGCAGGCTGTTACCTGGCACCCTGAGCCCTACCTCCCTCACTCCTGTTGGAGTTTGAGCAAGAGATAGTATCTCAGCTCTGAGCTCTGGCTCTTGAACCTCACTTTTGTGATAATAGTTCTCAAGTGTTGTGGAGTGTTGCTCAACTTCTTCACAATAGTAAGTTAAGATTGACAGTTACTGTCATCCCTCATTCCTCATGAAGCCTGTTTGATTTAACTTGTGAACTGATGATGTGATTGGATTTCTTCTCCCCAGTCTCTGATTCTGTCTCTTCTGCCACAAACATCAATATGGCAGTATCCATCAGCCCATTGTTTGACCCCAGGGCAGAAAGGAGTCTCTTAGAGGTCAATCAGCAGTTGTGTTTCCAGCTAGCAATGAGTGAACAGCAGTACCGAGATCCAAAAGAGAAATTGTCTACAGTGGAGGCTGCTGCCAACTCCCTGGCCAACCAGCTGCAGAAATACAGTAAGCTTTCTAGGTTCACCATCATCAGTGTATTAAATGATTATGTGTGTACTCTCTGAGAAAATATAGATATGATTCTTCTCTTTCTCATCATGATAAATTGTATTCTGCCATCCTCCTAGAAAAGAGGAAATGAGAATTTCCCCCAATTTTATGATTTTAGGAAAACTTTTGTAAGATCTTAGTGAATTCCAGGATGGGGCAAGAGCTTTAACCCCAGTTACTCATTCCTGTCACATGTACAGAACTGTCCGTTGTCCTCAGTGGCAGGGGAAACCGCTTTTTATTAGAATGCTCTCTGCACTCTACCAGAGCCTACAGATACATACCATGGCTGTTGATCTAAATATCTGGGGCCAATAAACTTCCATCTAAGACTCAATTGAGACCCCTTAGGAAAAGCACTAATTAGGTTACAGTGGGAAACCCAGGGTGGTACTCCAAGTGCCTGCTTTAAAGGACTATAAAGATAAATGTGATGAAACTGAAGCATCTGTATCTTTAAGTGACACCATCCAGAGGTACTGCCCTGGTGAATGGGAAGTCCTACTTTCTGAAGCATGGAGTCTTTTTCCTATGAAGACAAAGTCATTTGTAATGCCCTGGTGATATTAAGGGTGCTTCTGGGCATAGGAGAGAATCTGTACCCTCAGTCTCTCCCTGACCTTTAGGAGATGCAGGACAGCCAGACAGTCCAGGTGGACCTTGAGGGCCTGAGCTAAGAGACACATGGCACTGAGGACAGGGGCAAGTGGAAAAGGCCATTGGCCCCAGAAAAATCTAGGTCAACATGTGGGGCAGACCCTCCCCTCCTAGTCAGTCTGGCAATTGGAAGCTCATTGGCCTGTTCAGTAAGAGAGGGCTGCAGTGGGTGAAGGCCTCACAGAGATGGGCATGTACATAGCAGGGTGATTATAAGAAATTGGGCCAACTCTGATCCTTAATAGACAGGTGGAAAAGGCCATTGGCCCCAGAAAAATCTAGGTCAACATGTGGGGCAGACCCTCCCCTCCTAGTCAGTCTGGCAATTGGAAGCTCATTGGCCTGTTCAGTAAGAGAGGGCTGCAGTGGGTGAAGGCCTCACAGAGATGGGCATGTACATAGCAGGGTGATTATAAGAAATTGGGCCAACTCTGATCCTTAATAGACAGCATTTTCCTTCATTTATTTTTTCTATTAAATTATTGTGGGAATTTTTTAAAACTTAAAAGCACTTACAGAGGTAACTATTGAAGCCAATTAGGAAAGCAAAGAAATGTGGTTTTGTACCAAAGATCCCAGAAGGAGACTGGAGGAAAAGGGATTGGGGCATGGTCATCCCCCTGGGAGTAGGGGGTGACTTCTCACTTTCCCTCTGTTTCTTCTCTATACCTGTCTCCAGCAAGTACACATGCCTTAAGGCAAAAACCTCTGAAAAATTTAAAAAAATATATTTTATACTAAAAAAAGTTTAAAACAAAAAGAGTAAAAGAAAATCTAAAAAAAAAAAAAAAAAAAAAAAAAAAACTTTTACACGGCCCACCACTGGCAGGAAA